GACAGAACACGACGAGAGGAGGGGTGGTAAAACTGCCACCCGGGAGCGTCTGTGGGGAAGCCAAGGAAGACACAGGGAGCAGCACGAGGGGACAGCTTGTCCGTTGACAAGTCGCGGACAAACGCCCGAGATCCCCAGACACGGAACGCCGACGCATCGCCAACCTTCCCCGTCCACAGCAAGACTGGGGACCTCGCGGGCCGAGAGACCCGGGGGTGAAGGTTGAGCTGATGCGCCGCGTACCTCACCGCAAACGGCCACAGAAAATGGGGGGCAGCCGCATGCATCATGGACGTACGAGCGACATCCATGACCATGCCAATGCGGCGCTCAGCAATCCCATTTTGCTGTGGAGAGTCCGAAAGCGTGAAGGTCTGGCGGATCCCCCGTGCACGACAGTAGTCGCGCAGAAGGCGCGAGGAGAACTCTCCGCCTCTGTCCGAGTGCAGACGCAGAACAGGAAAGTCCGAGCCGAAGCTCTTCCTGAGCTAGAGACGAGCCTCGCGGATCCAGTCGATCAGCACCTCAGTGACAGTACCCTTGCTGCGCAAGGGGAGGACTGTGGTGTAACGCGAGTAGTCGTCAACCACCAGCAGGAAGTAGCGCTCGTGACCCTGCCCACGGACGGGGGCTGGGCCCCACACGTCCATGTGAAGCGTCTGCAGAGGAGCCTCTGTCAGGGGGAACTGGGAGGAGTGAGGAGCAGCCCGGAGGCGACCCTCGACACAGGGGACACAGGAAGGTCCTGGCCCGGAGGGAAGGGGAGGGAGAGACTGGGGAAGACCAGAGACAAGGACACGGGAAGCCATGCTCCGAAGACGTGGCAAGGAGGGGTGGCCAAGACGGTGGTGCCACAGGAGAGTCTCGTGAGACAGGAGGCGACAAGAATAGGGGGCAGACTCAGGACCTGACCGGGACGCAGCAGCAAGCACCTGACCTGATGCAGCTACCTGACCAGACGCAGGGACAGGAGGAGTCTCAACGGTCAGGGTGTAGAGACTCGACCCCGGCCGACGCGAGAACGTGGCCAGGTGTCGGCCTGTGCGTGCATCCGTGCAGTGGGTCACCCGCTGACTCGCAGGAGTGAACTGGTGAACCCCCACATCCTGCAGGTCCGCACCACTCACCAAGTTCGTAGAGAACGAGGGAAGGTACAGACTGGACAGGGTGCCCGAAGGGGCAGCTGGACACGGGAGGACAGTGGAGAAGTGAGAGAGGACAGGACCCCCACAGGGGTCAGCCAGGGAGACGGCAACCGGCCGGCCAAGCGGCGTAAGGGTGGTGCGGTCTCGAAAGCAGGAGCGAGAAGCCCCAGAGTCAAGTGTGAAAGTAAGGGAGGACGAGGGCGACGAAGTACCTGAGAGCGCAGTCTCACCAGTACCTGAGAGCGCAGACGCACTGGCACCTAGAGCAGCAGCCTCACAAGCACCTAGCGCAGCAGTACCAATGCCCGGGTCGGGCTGGAAACACCGGTAACCCTCAGTCTCCTCACTAATAGTCACAGCATACATAGCAGCAAGGATAGCATCAAAATCAAGATCAAAGATCGCTACACCAGCCCTAAGAAGCTCATCCCAGTGAGGGATCTCACTAGCCCCGGGGAACTGCTGACGCCAAGCGTCCGTCAGGCGGCCAAAGCAGCGCTGGGTGGGGTGGGCACCCCCACACTGCTCACCCGCGCGGTCGCCGGAACGAAGGACGTAGGTGCAAGGACCAGTACCCCCACCCCTCTGACGCTGAGTGTACCACTCACGAAGCTGCTGAGGCGGAGGGATGTCCCGCGAACGCTGCTGCTGCTGCTGCTGCGAGCGCTGGGCACCACCACCGCCGCTCCGCTGCTGGGTACCACTCCGACCAGCTCCACCCCCTCCACCACCACCGCCTCCTCCGCTGCCTCCTCCGCCGCCTCCACCTCCGCCGCTGCCACCACCACCACCGCTGCCACCACCACCGCCGCCTCCGCCGCTGCTGCCACCACCACCACCACCCCCGCCACTACTCCCGCCGCCACCCCCGCTCCCTCCGCCGCCTCCGCCGCCACCGCCACCGCCCCCTCCAGCTCCACCCGCGCCCTTGCCCCCCTTGCCCTTGCCAGAGCGACGTTTCCCACTAGGGGCAGACGCCGCGCCGACCGACTCAAGACCAAGCAGGTCGGCAGCAGCAGCAGAGGCAACAGAGGGCAGCAAGGGGGAAGGAGAGCACCCCTCAAAGATGGGGGTGCAAGGGTCACCACGAGAAGCTCCTACAGCGACTATGCTCTTCTCCGCTGCGAGGAGGGCCTTCTCGAGGACGTTGACGGTGAGGGTGGTGGGACAGACTGCGAGAAAGTGGTCCCTGACTACGCGAAGGGAGTCAGGGAGGCATGCGACTACGTAGTAGAGAGTGATGTACATGGGGGGGGGGGTTCTTAGCGCAGAACTCAGCAGGAAGGGCGGCGCGGTAGCGAGTGTCACTAGTGCGGAGGTGCGTAATGAGGTCAGCGACAGTGGGAAAGGCAGAGAGGTCAGGAAAGAGGTAGGGAAGCATGAGACGGCTCAGTGCAGCAGTGGCAGGGGAGGAGTAGCGCGCAACTACAGCGTCGTACAAGGTCTGAGCACTCTTGTACTGACTAAAGTGCGCGCGCTCAGAGGTACGGAGGTGGCGACGCACAGCAAGACGTGCAGCAGCATCGCGGGTGGCCCACTTAGAGCGAACGGTGGGATCAGCATCAGCAGCAGGAGCAGGAGAGGCGCCAGAGGTAAGGTCAAAGAGAGAGAGGTCGTCTGCCCTATCGCACTGTAAAAACAACTGCAGGTCGTCTACCCAGACCTCAAAGTCAATGGCGCGACCCTCAGCGTCAAAAGCTAGGACACTAGGGGTAGCCATGACGACGACAGCGAAGCAGTGTAAGCAGTAGGGGAAGAGCACGCAGTGACAGTGGGACTGTGCTCACCAGGCAGGGCAGGCCGGGCAACTCCGCAGAAGGGGGGCTCGGCGACTCAGCGACTCGGCTGCTGGGCGGCTCGGCTCCCGGGCGGCTCGGCGGCAGGGCGGCTCTGGTGCAGGGCGGCTCGGCTCCCGGGCGGCTCGGCGGCAGGGCGGCTCGGCTCCCGGGCGGCTCGGCGGCAGGGCGGCTCGGGTGCGGGGCGGCTCGGCTGCACTGCTGCTCGGCTGCTGCAGGTGGGCGGCTCGGCCGCTGCAGGTAGGGTGGCGGGGCCGCGAGACCAGGGGCGGCGGGGCCGAAGTAGCAGGGTCGTCAGGTGCAGTGGCGGGGACGGCGGGGCCGCGGCTGGTGGAGCGGTGAGGCCGGCAGAGAGGGCGGCGGAGCCGCGGCTGAGCAGGCGGCGGGGCCGGCGGCGTAACGGGCGGCGGGGCCGCGTCGTAGTCGGCGGCTGGGCCGCGTCGTAGCGGGCGGCGGGGCCGCGTTAGAGCAGGCGGCAGGGCCGCGTCAGAGGTGGTGGCGGGGCCGCGTCAGATCAGGCGGCGGGGCCGCGTCAGGGGTGGCGGCGGGGCCGCGTCAGATCAGGCAGCGGGGCCGCGTCAGAGGTGGCGGCGGGGCCGCGTAAGAGGTGGCGGCGGGGCCGCGTCAGAGCAGGCGGCGGGGCCGCGTCGTAGCGGGCGGCGGGACCGCGTTAGAGTAGGCGGCAGGGCCGCGTCAGAGCATGCAGCAGGGCCGCGACGTAGCTGGCGGCGGGGCCGCGATCGGGTGGCGGGGCCGCGACGTGGCGGCGGGGCCGCGATCGGGAGGCGGGGCCGCGATCAGAAGGGGTGGCGGGGCCGCGTCTGAGGGACGGCGGGGCCGCGAGGGAAAGGGCGACTCGAGGGGTCGCTAAAAAAAAAGGTGCGCGCCTCGGGGCGCGCTTCGGTGGGCCCTAGGCAACGTTCCCACAGGGAACTCGCTCTATACCATGTGAAAATAAATGACCAGGAATGAGAATGACTAAGTCAGTGTTGGGTACAAATACAACCCTAGAAAGCTGTACCCCATATGTGCTACCCCACTATAGCCTACAAACATGCATCAGCTATAATAATCTGACAGTCGAAACTTTTTTTTCTGCCCGGAGCGCGCTCAGCCCGAGTCGCGCTCCTCTCTCTCATCTCGTCGAGCCCCCCTAGCGAATGCGTCGCGCCGCCCTCGCGGCCCCGTCACCCTAGCGGCCCCGTCGCACTAGCGGCCCCGTCGCCTAGCCCTACGACCCAGGCGCCGCCCTGTCCCGGCCCCGCCGCCCTTCTCTGCGGCCCCGCCGCCCTTCTCTGCGGCCCCGCCGCCCTTCTCTGCGGCCTCGCCGCCCTTCGCTGCGGCCCCGACGCCCTTCGCTACGGCCCCGCCCCCCTTCACTGCGGCCCCGCCGCCCTTCGCTGCGGCCCCGACACCCTTCGCTGCGGCCCCGCCGCCCTTCGCTGCGGCCCCGCCGCCCTTCGCTGTGGCCCCGACGCCCTTTGCTGCGGCCCCGCCGCCCTTCTCTACGGCCCCGCCGCCCTTCTCTGCGGCCCCGCCGCCTCTCTCGCTGCGACCCCGCCACCTACCTTGCGGCCCCGCCGCCCTTTGCTGCGGCCCCGCCGCCCCTCTCGCTGCGGCCCCGCCGCCCCTCTCGCTGCGGCCCCGCCGCCTACCTTGCGGCCCCGCCGCCCCTCGCTTCGGCCCCGCCGCCCCTCCCGCTGCGGCCCCGCCACCTACCTCGCGGCCCCGCCGCCCTCCCAGCGGCCCTGCCGCCCTACCAGCGGCCCTGCCGCCCTACGTCACCGAGCCGCCCGTTCCGCCCGAGCCGCCCAAGACGCCCGAGCCGCCCGAGCCGCCCGAGCCGCCCGAGCCGCCCGAGCCGCCTTAGTCGCTGAGGAGCCGAGCCGCTGGTGCCGCAGAGCCGCAGTTACTACTGAGCCGTGCGAGTCGCCCGAGCCGCCGTGTTGCCGAGCTGCTGTGCTGCTGAGCTGCCCGAACCGCCCTGTCTGGTGAGAGCAGCGCTTCTGTCACTGCACTGCCCCTGTCCTACAGTTAGTGCTGCTAGTCTACTGCTGTCATGGCTACCCCCAGTGTTCTCGCTTTTGACGCTGAGGGTCGGGCCATTGACTTTGAGGTCTGGGTAGATGACCTGCAGCTTTTCCTACAGTGCGATAGGGTAGACGATCTCTCCCTCTTTGACCTCACCTCTGGCGCCTCCCCTGCCCCTGCTGCTGACGCTGACGCCACTGTTCGCTCCGAGTGGGCCACGCGCGATGCTGCTGCACGTCTTGCTGTGCGTCGCCACCTGCCTACCTCCGAGCGCGCGCACTTTAGCTAGTACAAGAGTGCTCAGACCTTGTACGACGCTGTAGTTGCGCGCTACTCCTCCCCTGCCACTGCTGCACTGAGCCGTCTCATGCTACCGTACCTCTTCCCTGACCTTACTGCCTTTCCCACAGTCGCTGACCTCATTACGCACCTCCGCACTAGTGACACTCGCTACCGCGCTGCGCTTCCTGCTGACTTCTGCGCCAAGAACCCCCCCCCCATGTACATCACTCTCTACTACATAGTCACTCGCCTCCCTGACTCCCTTCGCGTAGTCAGGGACCACTTCCTCTCAGTCTGTCCCACCACTCTCACTGTTGACCTCCTCGAGAAGTCCCTCCTAGCGGCCGAGAAGAGTATAGTCGCTGTAGGGGCCTCTCGTGGTGACCCGCGCACCCCCATCTTTGAGGGGTGTTCCCCCTCCCCCCTACTGCCCTCTGTTGCCTCTGCTGCTGTGGCCGACCTCCTTGGTCTTGAGTCGGTCGGTGCGGCGTCTGCCCCTAGCGGGAGACGCCGCTCTGGCAAGGGCAAGGGGGGCAGGGGCACTGGAGGGGCGAGCGGGGGCGGTGGAGGTGGAGGTGGAGGCGGCGGGGGGAGTGGGGGTGGCGGTGGGAGTGGTGGTGGGGGTGGAGGTGTCGGTGGCGGCAGTGGAGGTGGAGGCGGCGGCGGCGGTGGCGGTGGGAGCGGAGGTGTTGGAGGTGGCGGCGGTGGAGGAGGCGGCGGAGGCGGCGGTAGTAGCGGAGGCGGCGGAGGCGGCGGAGACGGCGGGGGTGGCGGTGGTGGTCCGCGCCAGCAGCAGCAGCGCGGTCGTGAGACCCTGTCCCCTTAGCAGCTCCGTGAGTGGTACAGTGCACGCTAGCGGGGTGGGGGTTTTGGTCCGTGCACCTACGTCCTGCGCACCGGCGACCGTGCGGGTGAGCAGTGTGGGGGTGCACACCCCACCCAGCGCTGTTTTGGCCGCCTGATGGACGCGTGGCGTCACCAGTTCCCGGAGGCCTCCGAGATCCCTCGCTTGGGCGAGCTGTCTAGGGCTGGTGTTGCCATCTATGATCTTGATTTTGATGCTATTCTTTCTGCCATGTATGCTGTGTCTATTAGTGATGAGGGTGACTGTTACCGGTGTTTCCCGCCCGATCCGGGCATTGAGACTGCTTGTCACAGGATCGAATTCTCAATCGAAACTTGTCACTAAAACTGAATACAAGGCATTTTTATACTCGGAGAATACAAGGATAATCGAGATAAAACGAACCTTCGGGAACACGCCCTTCCCGATACTATGATCACAATTGCGCACAAGCACGCAAGGCTATTGGCACTTGGGATTACGCTCAGATTACACCGTATACACTACTGTCGGCGCTGTCGGTAGGTATGTCGGTGGGAAAAGTAGGAAATAAGATAAATAAATAGAAGGCTCTAGAAAATAGAATAGTAGGCCGATTGAGATGAGATTAGGACCAAAATAAAGAGGAGAAAAGGGAGAATAGGATAACGGAAAAATATAATAGTGAGAAAATATTATAACGGGGACGTCCTCTCACACTTCCCCCCCTCAAAGCTGGGTGGTAGAAGTAACACCCTGCTTTACAAGGTAGTCCTGGAGAGGACGGCGGGCGTTATCCATGTCGTGTTCAGGTACCCAGGTATCCTCGGAAGGATCATAGCCTTTCCAACGAATCAAGAGCTCCAAGGTGCCGTTACGTCGTCGTCGGTGCGCCAGAACGGCTTCGACTTCGTACTCGGGTTCCCCATTAACGATCACTGGCAGTGGCGGCGGCGGTTGGCGACCTTTGAAGACCGTGTTTGGGTCCCGATAGGGCTTGAGAAGTTGAACATGGAAGGCATTGTGAATTCTCCAGGTAGCTGGTAAACGCAAGCGGAAGGTTACTGGAGTGACCTGCGCCTCGACGAGAAAGGGTCCGCAGAAGCGAGGTCGGAGCTTAGACGGAAGATGGCTAATGTCGAGATTGTGTGTATCCAGAAGCACTTGATCGCCAATCTTGATGAAATGATCGTTGCGACTCCGATCAGCGAGCTTCTTTTGTTGCTGCTGGATAGTCAGAAGACGTTTATGCGTGCGCTCCCACAATTGGTGCATAGTGGAAATGAAGTCATGTGCGGGTTGCACCGTGGCGGGTACTGTTGGTTTTTGAGGCGTGAGTGGGTTGCGACCGTAACAGAGGAAGAAAGGAGTTTGCCCTGTTGCGGCGTGCGTGGCGTTGTTATACGCAAACTCGAGAACCGGCAGATGTGCATCCCATGTAGAGATATCGTCCTTACACGCTGCTCGCAAAAGCTGTTCGACAATCTGGTTGAGGCGCTCTGTCTGACCATCCGTTTGGGGATGATAGGCTGATGACATGGCGAGTTTGGTCCCCATGAGCGACATAAGCTCCTTCCAGAACTTACTCGTGAATTTCGGGTCTCTGTCGGAGATCAGCGTGGTTGGAATGCCATGTTGCGAGATGACGTAGCGGAAGAATAATTGCGCTGTCTCCTCGATGCGAGCCGTTGAGTGTGTCGGAATGAAGTGTCCCATTTTGGAGAATTTATCGATGACGACTAGAATGGCGTCGTAACCAGCTTTGGTAGTGGTAACCCGGTGATGAAGTCGAGGCTAACCACTTGCCAAGGCTGTTCAGGGACTGGAAGAGGCTGTAGTAACCCTGCTTTCTGTTTGCTGCTCTTCATCCGTTGGCATGTGTCGCACGAGGTGACGAATTTGTGTACGTCATCCGCCATGTGGGGCCAATAATAATGCTTTGCAATACCGGCAAGCGTCTTGTTACTACCGAAGTGGCCCGCGTAGAGAACATCATGATATTCTTCGAGCAGTAACTGGCGTAAGGGAGGATAATTAGGTACCCATATTTTTGTTGAGCCCTTGCGGTATGCGATGTCTTGATCCCATTGTAGAAGATGGCGCTTTTCTGCTACAGAGACTTCGGGGTCAATGGTGTATCCGTGCGTGAAGAGTCCCTTTAAAAGGGGGTTCATGCCATCGACTTGTAGGGCGGCAACGTGTGCAAGGCGACTCAGTGCGTCTGCCTTGTTCTTGTGCCCCGGCTTATACACGATGTCGTAATGGAAGTGGGTTTCGAGAAAGTCAATCCACCGGACCTGTCGCCTGGAGAGTGTTGGTTGGGTCTTCAGGTACTTGAGGCTGCAGTGGTCGGTGTAGACGGTCGTTTTTCTTCCTTCGAGATAACACCTCCATGCCTTAAATGCGTTGACGATGGCGAGGGCCTCTTTGTCATGGATGGGGTAATTGAGTTCTGCCCCGTGAAGTTTTTTACTGAGGTATGCAATGGGTTGCACTCCCTTCCCTTGATCCTACATGAGTACTGCGCCCACTGCTTGATCGCTCGCATCGGCCTCGATGACATAGTCAAGTTCAGGGTCTGGCAGGATAAGGACAGGTGCGGACGTGAGTGCGGTTTTAAGTTGTTCCACGGCTTCCTGGTGCTTCGCCTCCCATTGATATTGTGTATTCTTCTTCAACAGGTTCGTTAATGGTGCGGCAATCTTGGCGTAGTTCGGTACGAACCGGTTGTAGTAGTTGGCGAATCCAAGTAACTGTTGTAACTCCTTCACGTTCTCAGGGGTCTTCCACGTTCGCACCGCTTCGATCTTCTTAGGATCCACGTGAACTCCTTGAGCGCTCACCATATGTCCAAGGAACTGGACTTTTTTCAACGCAAACTCGCTCTTGGATAGTTTCACGTAGAAGCGTTCTCGTCGAAGAATTTCAAACACCCGTTGCAGATGCTCAACGTGCTTCTTCATGTCTTTCGAGTAGATCAGGATATCGTCCAAATATACCACCACACACTCGTCCAAAAGGGGCGGAAGGATGTGGTTCATTTCTGCCTGAAATGTGGCTGGTGCGTTAGTGAGTCCGAATGGCATTACGAGATACTCGTATGACCCATACCGAGTTCGAAAGGCGGTTTTGTGGATAGAGTTGTCCGCCATACGAAATTGCCAGTATCCCGATCTAAGGTCGAGCTTGGAGAATACCGTAGCACCGCGAAGTTGATCGAGTAAGTCGTCGATCCGTGGTATCGGGTATTTATTTTTTACAGTCTGCTTGTTCAAGGCTCGGTAGTCGATGCACATTCGGAGACTTCCGTCTGGCTTCGGAGTGAAGAGAACTGGAGCTCCGTACGGTGAAGTCGACGGTCGAATCAACCCTTTCTCCAGGAGATACTCTATTTGTTTTTTCATATCGGCAAGCTCTGTTGGGCTCAGCCGGTATGGTGCTCGGAACGTTGGCTTGGACCCCGGCTCTTCTACGATCTCGTGTTGATGCGACCGGTATGGCGGTAGCTGATCAGGTAAATCGTCGGGGAGAACGTCCTGGAACTCTTCAAGAATTTTCTTGACTGCTGGAGGAAGTTCCTGGGTCTGCTTCTCTCCGTTGTCTGCTTCGTTGACTATCGCCATGAATCCCGCCGTAGTCCGTTTGACGTCCTTTTCAAAGCGTGCGAGTGTCTCGACTGGAATATTTCCCGTGTCTTCCCATTTGGGAAGGCTGATTTTCCTCCCGTTGTTGTTGATGTTGGCCGTCCGGTTAACCCAGTTGATCTCGGGGTTGAACTTTTTAAGAAAGTCTCTCCCGAAGATTACGTCGATTCCTTTGATATTTGTGACGGGGAGAGCAGGCTTCCATCGAAGGGGTCCAATCTGGAGTAGCAACCGTGTTTCCCCGTAGATAGGTAGCTTACTGCCATCCACCATCGTTGCAGAGAAGCTTGAGGACTTGATGTCACTTCCGAGTCGATCGATTGCCTTTTTGTCATAGACGCTGTGCGACGCCCCGCTGTCCACGAGAGCTTGGAGGCGCTGTCCGTTGCAGATCACCTCGAGCAGGAGTGGTGAGCGTTGCTTGGAGTACCCAAAAATAGTCTCATTAATAGGATCATAGGGTACATCCCAATATTCAGTACACACCGTGGTTCCACTGTTTTCTCTTGGACAACTAGCTGGCCTGGGCTGCGTGGAGAAAGGCTCCTCTCCAACGCCAGGAGTAGAGGTAGTAACCGTACAGGTTGACCCTGAGGGGGTGGATCCGGTCGACGCCTGCGATCCACTGGATGCATCTTAGAGGGGTTTTCGGAGTTTCTGCAGCTTCTTTTGAACTCCCAGCTGCCTCTTCAGCTGCTTCAGCTCCATAGACTTCTTCCCTGGGGAGTGGAGAGTCGTCTTGGGCTGGTTCCGGGAGAGGACGTTGACGCCGTGAAAAGGTCTACTCCTTTCCACACTCCTTATTTTTTTCCCCAGCTCCGTAGGCACCGATACCACTTCTTTAATTGTCTGCTTCCTCTGGAGTTCTTCCCGGAATTTGTTTATGGCTCCAGACCCGCGAAAATCGCCAGTCTTCATTAGAACATCTTTGAAAGATAACTTTAACGAATTCTGTTTTTTTCCGGGGTCGAATTGGAGAGTTCCCGTCTTGGTCGAGTCTGTTTTCGCGGAGGTTTTCTTTTCCTCAGCGAATTCCTCTGACAAATTTCGGTCAAGGGGCTTGGGATTTCGCCCTTGATTCTCCAAATCTCGCGCCCAATGCTGTCCTTCAATTTCGATTCGGTCCAGATTGCGCTGACGCTTTCGGATTTGCTTTTCCTCGCCAGCCCGATCCGCAATCACTGGCGAGATCCATTTTTTGACCTTTTGTCTTTAGTTTCGCCACTCCCACGAGCTCGGAATGCCGCACGTGAGAAGAAGTGAACGAGAATGAAATGACTATGAACGAAGTGAGTACAAATAGGAAACCCTAATTGGGTTGTACCCCCTATGGGATACCCCACTATAGCCTACACAAAT